GAAGCCAATAAAAGTAGACTTGCTAGAGGAACGATCCCCACGTTTGATGATTTCATGACCTTCGTAAACACCGAAGCAGGGATTGCAACAGATCCAGTCTTTTCGCGAGGAGCCCTCCATCACTTGGATGGCTCATTAGATCGCCCTGATCGTTCCAACAAAGGCAAAGGTTCTGGGAAGCCTAAAACTTTCGGGGACCGTGCTCGTGCCCCGCATCACGTCTCCAATCACGCAACAGATGTAACCGCTGACAAAACAATTGCTTCACGTAACCCTACCATCATTTGTAAGCTTTGCAACAAGGGGCACGACTTAGACGATTGCCAAGCCTACTTGAAGAGATCTTTACCAGATAGGAAGGAGTTCCTCAAAGAAAAGGAGCTCTGTTTCGCATGTTACGATCCTGGCCACAGATCTAACGGGTGCGCCCAGAGGAGAACTTGTAAGAAGTGTTCACGTCGTCATCCCACGGGACTTCATGATGACAACTTCCGCATCAATCAAGTAGCCTCCAAGCAGCAGATCCCCCCGCCTCCGCAGCGTAAGGATCATGTTGCGAATGCTCACACTGAAATGGCCCAAGCAACGTGTAATGCCACTGGCGCTGAGAAATCTGTCTGCGCTGTACCCATCGTTCCTGTCAGGTTGAGATCTGAGAAAGTGAAGTCCTCACTTACGCCATGCTTGATACTTGCAGCACCGGTTCCTTTGTTCTAGAAGATATCGCATCCAGTTTGGGTGTAAACGGCACCGATACACAGCTGATGGTGAAGACCGTCAACGGCACCAAATTACACGACGCCAAGGTTTTGAACGGATTGGTCGTTTCAGATTTAAAGGGTGACAATACCGTGCAATTACCGAAGATCTTCGCCAAAAAGGACCTTTCTACCTGCGATAACATCCCTACGCCTGAACTTGCTCATCGATGGAAACATCTTAAAGGCATAGAAGCAGATCTGCCACTACAGTTACCTAATGCCAAGATCGGTCNGATCCTGGCCACAGATCTAACGGGTGCGCCCAGAGGAGAACTTGTAAGAAGTGTTCACGTCGTCATCCCATGGGACTTCATGATGACAACTTCCGTATCAATCAAGTAGCCTCCAAGCAGCAGATCCCCCCGCCTCCGCAGCGTAAGGATCATGTTGTGAATGCTCACACTGAAATGGCCCAAGCAACCTGTAATGCCACTGGCACTGAGAAATAAGTCTCCGCTGTACCCATCGTTCCTGTCAGGTTGAGATCTGCAGAAAGTGAAGTCCTCACTTACGCCATGCTTGATGCTTCCAGCACCGGTTCCTTTGTTCTAGAAGATATCGTATCCAGTTTTGGGTGTAAAGGGCACTGATACACAGCTGATGGTAAAGACTGTGCAATTACCGAAGATCTTCACCAAAAAAGACCTTTCTACCTGCGACAACGTCCCTACGCCTGAACTTGCTTATCGATGGAAACATCTTAAAGGCATAGAAGCAGATCTGCCACCACAGTTACTTAATGCCAAGATCGGTCTTCTGATTGGTTCTAATTGTCCGAAAGCTCTCGAGCCAATGGATATATTAGCAAGCGAAGATGGTGGTCCATTTGCAATTAAAACGTTTGCTGGATGGGCAATAGTTGGGCCCTTATACATGTGCTATGAAGAGCATCCTACTGTAAATTGCCATAGAGTTGCTGCAATGGAAGTCTGTTCTGGTAGACACCTCGATCACCACTTCATGATAGAGAACAAAGTCAGAGAAATCGTTACTCCACAAGTGCTGAACAAAATGTTTGAACTAGACTTCAGCGAGCGAACTGATGATAAGGAACAAGGACACTCACAAGAAGACAAGAAGTTTCTCAAGATAGTTACCCAGGGTATTCGGCATACAGAAGATAGTCATTACGAGATTCCCCTTCCATTCCACCGTGACGATGTACGCTTTCCTGAGAACAAGGAGCAGGTCCTTCAAAGAGCACACTGGTTAAGAAAGAAGTTTATCAATAATGAGACATTTTACAAGGACTATGTCAATTTCATGAACAGTATTATTGCCAAGGGATTTGCTAGGAAGGTGCC